CACACACACACACACACATGCACATGCACAATCCCCCTCCCCTTACAGCGTCTAAAATTGTTTCTGGAAACGTTTTGTTTTGCTACTACAGGTTCCTATAGGTTGTTCGTTATCTTTACTTCTTAACACTTCGGTGGTAGACAAAAATATGTTTGTAAAACAAGGCGTGTCTTCAGTCTCACAGTTCTTGAGACTCTCTGTCCATCTCTTTTATTTGTACTTGAAGTAAGTTCTAGTGGGACTTCTCTGCCTAGTACAGAGAGTGCGGCAGAAGCAGAGGCCTCAGAAATAGATGGGTGTGGCACTGAAGTTGAGTCTACGAATTGAGAAACAAGTGCAGCTCTTTAAATGAAGCAGAGAGAGAGAGAGAGAGAGAGAGAGAGAGAGAGAGAGAGAGAGAGAGAGAGAGAGAGAGAGAGAGAGAGAGAGAGAGAGAGATGGGGAGGGGGGGGGGATCGGTTGAATTTGGAATAAACGATTAAATTAGTTATTGCTCGACCTTCTTTCGGAGTAACCATAACTTGGGCAATTTGGGCAACTCATGATCGGGAATTCGAGCTTTTAAAGATTCTTCTTTGGCACACCTACTGTATCAGAATGACTAAATTGCTATACCCATTTTAATTTTTTTCCGATAAATGCAAGAAATGCATTAACCAGACAACTTTCTATTAAAGAGTAAGAGTCGGTGCAAAGGCTCACAGAATCAGGTTTGCGATAGTTTAAAACAACGGACTCTTCCTCAAAGGGGCATAACCGTAAAAAACCAACCTGTCTATCTATTACCTCAATAACTGGACAGCTGTGTTGGACAGTGATCTCCATCTAGTTAATCTTTAACGCATTAAAAACCATTACAACGAATGTCAAAAGAACTGCAAAGGTAAACATCCAAACAAAAAGCCCCCCCCCCCTTTTCCCCCTTTTCCTCCAAGTTGGATTTCAAAGCAGCCCAGACCCATCTAAATCCCTCTTAAATACCCTAGAGTTCTAAATACAAATAACCGCTAGATTGAAAACACATTCTGGCATATATTTAGATTTAGTTTTAGTAATAGTTTTGCGGAATTTGCGACACTAAAAGGTCTCATAAGTGACGAAGATTAGAGGTGGAATTAGAGAGAAACAAACAAAATAAAGGAGAGATAATAACGATACGAGTTTGATAGCGAAGGAGCACATAAATCGCCATATCAAAGCACCCGCTAGCCTCCCACAGCACACGTTCATTCCGTTTTCCTCTACCCAACTCCTGCAAAAAGCTGCAATGTTTTTTTAAGTCTCAATAAAAAGAGAAAAAACTCAAAACCCAAAACGAAACCTAAAAAAACTACTGATGAACAATTTCAAGTCTTTTAACCTAAATTCAGCACTGTGTGGCCCTCTATCACCGGAATATATTTTTTTTAAATAATGCAAACATGCAATTCAATTAGGGCACGTCTTCGGAACTAGATCTAGATTTTCTTATTTATTCAGTGCAAAGGCTTACTGTTCAATTGAACTTAGATTCTACATTTTTATTGTGAACTCTCTGGAGTCAATTCGGCTACGTACCTGAATATGACACAGTGCACACCGTGTCGATCTATTAGCCTTCTTCGAGAAACTTAACAGTAAAATCTTCCCTTGCTTTTTATGAACACACTGGTCTTTTCGTCATGGTAGCGAAGAGATAATCTAGACTTCACAGTCTCTCCTTCTTAGCCTACAGGATATAGAATATCGTGATTTGTTTTTGCACTCATAATAAATGGTGCATCTTTTTTTCCAAGTAAACTGGAAATTCCCAATTTCTGAGCTGTGATGGTATTCTTTTAAAGTGACGACGATGATGTTGCTTCGAATCAAGAGACCGGACGCGTTCAGTGATTACTTGACTAGTTTTGGTAGATAAATCACACTTTTGAGGGGTCATCAGAAAACCAAAAGGAAATAACAGGACAGCATAACTAATTTATTAGCTTGCGTGTAAGCCCTCCTACCACATGAAAGTACCCACAATATGAACATTAAAAAACCCAAACAATTTTAATATAAGAAACAATTAAAATCCAAAGCAAACACTCAAAAAGCAACAACCCGTGAAAAGAAAAACAACACAAAAAGGAACGAAACAAACAAAAAACCTAAACGAAGAAAGACAACTAGGCACAAAAAACCCAAACAAAACAAAATCTAAACAACCTGACCCTAAATAAATTTTTTTTAAAGTTTGTGATTGTTTTTTTTAATGCATTCAGCTAAAAGGACTCACAATTTATCCTCACATTGAAATAGCAATCCTCCCAAAAATATTTGTAAAATGCAAAAGGCAAATTCGTTCTGCGAAAAAGACAAAGCTGAGTCTTCTGAAAATAAAAAGATTATCATTCAACTGTAAACACCATCACCACCACCACCACCACGGCAAAGAGAACAAGAAAATCGACACTAGCAACAGCAGCAGCCGCTCCAAATACGTTCGTCCAAGAATAATTTAAAAAAACCGAGATCAGATTCACCCTGGCAGCAAAGGTGTCAGAAAGCCACAGTGCAGGTGAAAAAGCTACACCGGCGGCTACTGTAGTAACAGCAGCAGCGCTGCGAAATGACATCAAAGGCAGTTGTCGCCTTGGCCGTCACACAGGCAGAAATAGCAAAGTCAACAAAAAACGACCATAATAAACCCAAACCCCCCAAACAATGTGTCCCCCCCCCCT